AGGGAGGGAAGAATGAAGAAAAAGAGAGGAAGGGAAGAAAGAAAGAAAGAAAGAAAGAAAGGGGAGGGAGAGAAAGAAAAAAAAGGAAGGAAGGAAGAAAGAAAGAGAAAGAAAGAAAGAAAGAAAAAAAGAAAGAAAGAAAGAACTTTATTTGCTTCCCATATCTTAGCTGATGCCTCGGTGTGGCTTCTCTGAGCACTTTCCCTTGACCCAGCCAACAGATCACAAAACTGCTATGTGTTGTGCACTGTGTTCTGTTGTGGCTCTTCCAGATATGGGGAAACCAAGAGGGGGCTGTTGTAATGGGTGGATCTGAGTTGAGGGGGGGGCTGTCCGATGCTCGGCCAGACAACGCATTGCAAATATTATCGTTACGGAGGGGAAAATAAAATCACCAAGACTTTCAACCAGACCATTTATCCATTTTGCTGTTCTTTTTTTTTCTCCTTCCCCCCCCCCAAAAAAACCCCCCAACCTCCAGAAATTTTCAGGAGCCGGCAAATCACAGCAGCCAGCAGGAACAAAAAGCATGTCTTTCACAGGTGGAAAATCCAACAGGTAGGGTAGAGTTAATAAAGTGCTTTAAAAAAAACAAAAAAAAAACAGCTGGAATATTGGAACTGCAGATAGTCCTCAACGTATGCTCACAATAGAGCCCCCATTTTCTGTCGCAAAGTGAGACCGTCGCTAAGGGAGGTTTGCCCCATTTGACCGCCTGCCTTCTCACTGTTATTGAATCACTGCAGTTGTTAGCTGTTACGTGAATCTGGCTTCCCCATGGATTTTGTTTGTTAGAAAGCCACCAAAAGGGATCACATGGCCCTGGGACCACAGCAACTGTCCAATACTTGTCAGTGAAACAAATGGCTGTAAGTCAAGGACGCCCTGTACCTTGCAGATAAGACTTGCAAGGGTTCTAGTCCCTAATATTTCACGCCACCGTTTGGTGACCGTTTGCCCTCCTGCACTGAAATTGGAAAGGAAGTGAACTGTTGGGCAATTTCCCGATTCTTAAAATTGTTCCACCTTTAAACCATATCCATTCAGCTCGCTCTCTCCTTACCTTTCTTGCCATTCCTCCCGCAGGGGTTTTCGGCACAACTGGCCCAAAAGATAACACCGTTGGAGGAAGTTTTGGGAAGATGCGAGAAACTCCTGCCGCTTTTTTTTTTTTTTTTTTGTATGGATACCCGTTTTCAATGTTGTTGTTTTTTTAAAAAAACACAATTAAAGTGCTTTTCTTTCCCCTGAAAAGGAAGGAAGGCAAAGTTTAAATTAAGCGGTGATGGTTCATTTGCTTTTCTTGCTTATTTATACGTAACGCTTGTATTACAGTTTAAATTAGCTTTACTTAAATCAACATTCAAGCCAGTATACACAGCAGGGAGGGGAAAGGGAAATGAAACATATAAATCCATTAAATTTGTTCCAGAATTTCTGAGCCGGCGCAAAGCGCAACTCCATCTTGAATGTTGGTTAAAAAAAATCTCTGCAACAGCCACCTGGCCTTAAAAGAGTCGGTTTTGAACTAACTGGCACTCCCCCCCCCGACCTCCAAAAGTTAATGGGTGCAGGTCTGGCTAGTTATTTATTTATTTATTTATTTATTTATTTAGACTTATATGCCGCCCTTCTCCCTACAGGACTCAGGGCGGCTCACAGCATATTAAAACAACACAAACATTGTCCCCAATAAAAGCCAATTAAAAACAAATATTTCACGCTGTGTTAATTAAAATTCTGATTAAAATTGTCCCTATTTAAAATTCTCCCTAGGCCAGACCCGCTTGCTGAAAAAGCCATGTCTTGAGGGCGCGGCGAAAAGATAGGAGATCCGGAATCGTCCGGATCTCGGGGGGTAGTTCGTTCCAGAGGGTGGGGGCACCCACAGAGAAGGCCCTCCCCCTGGGGGTCGCCAG